AGTAGAGAGAGAGAGAGAGAGAGAGAGAGAGAGAGAGAGAGAGAGAGAGAGAGAGAGAGACGCGAGAGTAAATTCGTGAGATTGTTGTAAGATAATTCCAAAAAAACTTTATCCGGATAAAACGTCCGTTTTTATAATTCAAAATCAGAATTCAACTGCGCTCTAACGAAGACTCGTTGCTCCGAACCACTCGAACTCTCGATCTCCCATCCTCGATTCCTCGACAAATAATCCCGCAAAAAAAAAAAAGAAACGAGATATATATGTATATGTTTTATGACGTCTCGAATGTAAAAACGAGCGAGCCAAAAGGCGCGTTCGTCCTTAGCCTCCTTTGTCCCTTCCCCGCGCGCGAATATATATATAGTTGGTAATATATTATTCTTCTACTCTTACTACTTGAATATTTATATGTGCAACTTTTCGATTTTGTTCGTTTCCACCCTTTTTAGTACTTTAATAAATGAGTTTGTTAAAAATAACCCAATGGAGCTTCATTTACGTTGCTATTTGTACGTTTTCTTCTTTCTTTTGCTCTTTCAAGCTAGTGAACATTATTTTTTTTTTTACTCAATTATTCGTTACGAACTCGTAAAGTGTCGTAATCTCTCTATTTTAATGAATTTTAAGTTTCCATTGAAATTCATATATTAATTTTATAAATCGTAAGGACGAAAATACGTATTAGAATTTTACACATAGAAATAATCTTCAGAAATTAAAAACGAAATGCGAGGAAATAAATAATTAATTGATTCATGTAAGTATATTTTGAAAGTTGTTTAGAAATTATATCGCATGCACATCTTCATAAAATTTACACATTAAAACATTTTTCTAATATTAAAATGCAGCAAATAAGTATATAAATAATTCATATCTATTAACTCATAGATTTTATTAATATTTTAAAAAGTTATATTATAGATACAAATTTATGTATCATATAAATTTTACTTTCTTCTTAATATATTGTATCAATATTTGAATTTATAATATATTGACAATATACATATTATATTTAAAATCGATTAGATCATTGATAAAAATATATTTTTCATTTGTGTATTTTCATGCGTATGAAATTATAAG